TAGCACTTCCTTTTTCATCTGTACCAGCAACCTCGGGGGACTGTGTATTTTGTAATTTTAGTGTTTTCTAAGAAGCAATATTTTTTAGCGTGGCTCTCTCTCTCTCTCTCTCTGCTTCTCCCTTCTTGGGGAGAAGATAGAGTCACATTATATAGCCTTAGCTTATCTTAAACTTGTGATCCTCAGGTCTTGGTCTCCCAGGCATGGACACACCATGGCTGAGTCTACCTTCTTAAAGCTTATGTTTAGTTCATTTTTAAAGCTTTTTCCAGTATAAACATTTCTTGCAATAGACATCTTCCTTAGAGCCACAGAAGGTGTTTTTGTTTTACTTATTATTTAGTATTTTATTTAAATTCAACTAGTAGTTTTTCTAGTTCTACCCACTTCAATCTAATAATTAATTCAGGTATGATATACTATAAAGAGAATCAGATAATGATTTTCATGAGTGTTTTCTATCTTGAGGCTGTGTGATTCCATGTATAAATTTCAAATTATTGTAATTTGTACTGACGTATTGACTCCTCTTGTTCTTGAGGACAAGAGGAGTTATTTTGGTATGCTTGCATGTGAGATGAACCTATTACACAGAAGATGCAACTATAAGCATTTCTTTTTAAATCAATAAAAAGCCGGTCTTAAACCAATGTATTAAGTTGTAATTACTGAAAGACAAGTGACTATGAGCCGTCTGCTGTTAACAAATCCTAGGTCTTCTGCAAGAGAGGCTGGGTCTTTCAGCTGCTGAGCCATCTCTCCATCCCTCCTTTGCAGACAAGTCCACTTCACCCACTCTAGAACAGACCATTAGAAGTGACTCCCTAACTGAACTTCGAACATCTTCACACTTCCCCAAATGCCCCGTTTATCTAGGCTTCCTTAGACTTGGAAGCCATTTGTAAACATTGGCTTGCACAGATATTTTATGTGGGTTCTAGTGATTATCAATAACCTTACAGGAGACTTTATAATTTATTTTATTGTGGCTTTTGTATCATTATGTTAGTTCTGTCACATAACAAATACTTTAGATATTTAACATATAAAGAAAAACAAACAGTACTGGCTCTTTTGCTTGGGTCTTTGGTAGTGTCTTATGATGACAGCTGGAAGACAGAGAGGAAGAGAAAGGGATGGAAAGGAGGGGGAGGAGAGGGGGAGGGATATGGAGAGGAGAGGAGGGGATGGTCCTAGTAATCATTATGGTACCATTCCAGGGATCTAAAACCTCCAGCTCTGTTCCATCTCTTCAAGTTCCCGCCACCTGCCAACAGCTCAAGGGCAAACCTTGTAACTCCTGGGCTTCAGGAAGTCCTGCAGCCCTGATCTACAATGGCCATCCATAGTCTCTGTCCTAGATTCATGTATCACATGTGCTTCGCCAATTCCTGTGCTTTCTATCCTAGTCCAGGCACTGACGGCTGCTGGGTATTATGTCCATTCCAGTTTATTGAAAGCTCACTATTCTAAGCTGGGGTATCAGCTTCAGCTCTATGACTGCCATGGAACATCTTTGCCATGAACAAGTGGATGCTAGAACTCGTTTTCCATCCTCTAGAGCTACAGCACAGAAACTAAGCTTCTTTGGACTGATGTCAGTTATTGGTTCTTGATTAAATTTCATTTGTTACTTCTGGGTTATTATTTTAAGAGGAATCACATATAAATTTATTTGACTAGCTTATGAGAAACTGCAATACTTTTATTTAAATTTACTTTGAATGAAGAAGCCATATTGCTGTTGACCCCAAACTGATATGGGCATTTTTTTATTTTTTTTTCTTTTAACAGTAGGACCTAGGAACGAGAGGTTAGAATAAGCTGCACTGTGTCTGTTGGGGGAATTTGTTAATGAAGTTATTAAACCATTGGATTTGCTTTCAAAAACCCACAAATTGGTGTGCTTTGACCTTTTGTTCAAGTTGGAAAAATAAATCCGTTTTACAAAGAAACTGAAAGATTCTGACATCCCCAGTGTCATCTCAGAGTGTTAAAAAGTGGCCGTGGCCCTGGAAAACCACACAGCTATAGCTCATTCACTCTCTACTTTCATCGTCAAAACCCTGGCTCCTTGCCCATGATCCCTGCCCCATGCATGTTCACATGTTTCTTTTACAAGGGACATGGTCAGTTGAGGCTGAGAATATTGGCATAAACAGAAGGTTATTTCTATGTCATTACAAGGTCAGAAACAACCTCATTGCTAAGTAGCCCAGAGAGGCATCCCAAGTGTTCTGAGATGCCCCCAAACCTAGCTTGTGTTATGGGAAGCCTACTGCTGGTGCTTAGGACCTCACAAGGTCTAGCATTGTCTCCTCAAAGTTGCCTCCTGAGAAATTAGAGCTTTCTTCAATCTAAAATATACTCACTGTCATTCTGTCACATGACTCTGGAACCCCCTGCTTGACCTATATTGCCATCTAGTACATTTTAGAGTTATGGCTTTAATATTTTTCTTCCTATCATCCTGCATGTAGAGTTTTGTGTCTGATCCTTTTTATTTGATCCTAAATGTTGTTTGTCTTTGAGTCCTGGGACCTCTATGTTTCTTAAGGTAGCTCTAGAGGAAGGTTAGAGTCCTTTGATCCCTTTTTATCTTGCTCTTTAGTCTCTGTTAGGCAGGATTGAGCTCAGGAACAAACTTTCCTCAGTATTGAGAGAAGACCTTTCTTAGTATTTTAACAAACTCCACAGAAATATGGAGTTTTCTTCTCTGGGAACTGAGAACACGTGCTGTTTCCAGCCCCGGATTTTCTGCTTCCCAGGTGCTAGTACTCCAGAGTCTTTCAGTTGGTTCTTTTCTTGAAACCTAGAACTTTTAACATTCAGTCAAGCACAGTCTGGAGGGAGGTGTATTCTGCTGGTAGCTGTGCCTTCTCCAGTGTTTCAGCTGAGATATCTGACCAAACTGGCTTGCCAGGCTTATGGCTCATCTTAGCGAATTCACTGGGCTCAGATCATCATCACCTTATTTTCTTGTGTCGTGATCTGGGGACCTCTAAGTAGTAATTACAAACAAACAAACAAACAAACAAACAAACATTGCAGGTCTTACCTCATTTTTTTCTCAGTTAATGAATGAATACTTATTTTGATAAAAACCCAAGTGATTTGCAACAGTTTAAATGATGGGTGCAAAAAGGCCACTGCATTACCTTCATGAAATTTCCAATATTTCTTTCCCATTAGCTCACCTGAATTACATGATGACACATTTTCTTCAACCATTATGAATTTGCTTCATATTATAAATTATAGAATCTTATGTTTGTCTGCATGTGAGGCCTATGTGTATGCACAAGTGTGTGTGTGTGTGTGTGTGTGTGTGTGTGTGTGTGTGTGTGTGTGTGTAGGCTAGAGAACAACCATAGCTTTTGTTCCCCAGGCATATTTTACCTAGTTTTTCCTAGACAAGGTCTCTTACTGGACTGAGATTTGCTAAGTAGGCTAGGCTCGCTGTCCGGCTACCTCCGAGGATTCTTCTGTCTCCATTTCTCCAGCTCTGGGACTGCAAGCATGGATCACTACTCCCAGCTTTTGTATTTTTTCATGAATTCAGGGCTCTTAGTTTGCTGACTGAGCTATTTATCTACTCCTACATGTATTTTGAAGATACTGTTTTATCCTGATTTTCCTAGCTAAGTTGACAAGCTGTAGGTTCAGTGACAAACCTTCTCTCAAAATCTCTAAAATATTTTAAATGAGTTCTAATTTTACTATTAAGAATACAGAGTTTGCCAGGCAGTGGTGGTTCATGCCTTTTATCCCAGTACTAAGGTGTCAAATGCAGATATTTCTCTGAGTTCATGGCCAACCTGGTCTACAGAGCAAGTTCCAGGGCTACACAGAGAAACAGTGTCTCAAAAACAAAAACAAACAAACAAAACAAAAAACAAAAAAGCAAAAACAAAACAAAACAACAAAACAAAAAATAGAGATTCAGAATAGAGCCAAGTGTGAGTCTGGAGAGATGGGTCAGCCGTTGAGAACACTGGCTGCTCTTCCAGAGGACTCAGGTTCAATTCCCAGCACCCACATGGCAGCTCACACCCGTCTGTAACTCCAGTTCCAGGGATCCTGACACCCTCACACAGACATATATTCAGGCAAAACACCAATGAAAATAAAATAAAAATAGATTATTAAAAAAAATAAGAAAGTCCTTTGAATTCATGACACTTCAAATAAAAAATCATTTAGCATCAAATTGAGGTTTATAAAATATGAATATATTTCCTAAAATAATTGCATATTTAAAGAACATTAATATATTCTATAATTTCCCATGCTTGCTATCTATTTCTTGCAAAAATAATGCCTATGAAGCTTAGTGAAATCACTGATGGAGTTTGAAGAAACAGTATTTTCCTGTTATTAATGCCAGAAATTGTTTATTAGGAGAAATCTTACAGTTATCCAAGCTTTACGTATGAAATTTTATAAGGAAGAGGAAAACGGCTTGGCAGGGAGAGGCAGCCCTTTGAAGAATTGCTGAATAAAACTACGGAGAGCAGGGACCTAGGGAGAAGACTCAGTCAGTTGAGGGCTTGCCAAGCTGGCGGGATAACCTGAGTTTATCCCCAGCGCCAATGTGAGAGGAGCCAGATGCGCAGCGGTTGCCTGCATCCCAGAGGTTGCCTGCATTCGCAGCCTGAGGAAGAGGAGGCTGGAGGATCCCTGAAATTCGCTGGCCAGCCAGCCTGGCCAATAGTCCCAGCTCCCGCGATAACCGCACCACAAAAATAAGCTAGGGAACAATTGAGGAAGAGTCCTCTCAACCTCCAGCACTCACATGCAAATACATACACATGTACACATGTGACATGTAGGCTCACACATAAACACACATAAAATAATTGAAGGGAGGTAAGAAGCAAGGGTCCTGATGTTTTTGAGAAACCCTTAAGGATTGACTGGGTTTTCTCTTAGACAATTGCCCTGATCCTCCACATTGTGAAGTTTTGTTTCCAGGTTCAGGGCAGGGAAAGGAACTCACGATGCGAAAGCAGATGATGCAGCGCAGGCTCGCCAGAGGCGGTAAAGTGCCTCTGAGTCCAGTGATGCCTGAAATGGACTCCTCTCCTCCCAGCACTCCCTGACCAGGTGATGGAAGTCACCTCAGGTCAAGCACAGTGTACGCCGTGAGGCATGCCTCTGGCTCCCTGTTAAAACGCATTTCATAGAAAACACATAAAAAAAAAAAAAAAAGTCACCCAAATTCCTAACACAGATAAACAGGAAAATGACCTTTAACGTTCTCTGTAGGCGTGCTTGGCAAGGGATATATGGATAAAGTAATTTAAAGTATGAGACTGAAGTTGTTACCTTACCAATATTTCTATAGAATATTTTATTTAAATTGCTCATATATCCTGGGAGTGGTGGCACACACCTTTAATTGGAGAAGAGTTCAAATCTCTATGAGTTCAAAACCAGACTGGTCTATATTGTAAGTTCTTGGTCAGCCATGAGTGTTTAATGATACCTGCTTTAAAAAAAATTAAAATTAAAAAAAAGGCCAACAACAATAAAAGTTCCTTGCATATTACTGGGAAGAGATTTAAGCTTTAAGCTCACATATAATATTCTAATCACACCCTGCTTACATAAATATCCACCCCATAATCCTGCCTGAATGATTTTGCTGCCACATTCTCCCCCCCCATGACCTCTTGAATTTAACACTAGTGGTAACTTTTGAAGGGTACCATCTTTAATGAAGATGAAAGCATTCAACGTGTGATCAAAGGATCTAGGGCTCCAACTCTCTAAACTGCAAATTGGTCTGTGTTCACAGATAATGCTTTGTTCCTGAGATGTGGAGGTCAAAAATGTTCTGCTCTTTGGAGCAACACATTAAATTTTACTTTTACAACAATGGGGCTTAAGGAAAGAAAGAAGGCAGAGACTGAAAGAGAGGAGAAGACAGAAGGGAAAGGATGGAGAGGGAGACGGGGGAGGGAGGAAGCAAAACATATGTACAGTTTTCACTCATAGTCTATTTAAAATACACTGTTACACATCTCTTAAATAGTTGGTAAGCTAAATAAACCTCTCACAATATTGAATTTGAGGAAGCGACATGGCCAGACTGACCTCTATGTAAAAAATTAATTCTTTTCTTTAAGCGGAAATTCATTTTGATTTCAAATAATAACCATAGGTAGAAGCCCTTGAAAGTCTAACCGGTTTTGATGTGCTCTCCTTTAACATGACATGAACTGCAGTTCCAACCTCCAGCTGTTGGAGATGTAGTTAAGATGTAACAGAATTGATTTGAACGTATGAATTTAAATGTATTCCTATTGGCTTTCATCATGATTTGTATTGCTTTCCAGCAGACAATTAATTTAATATGGATTTAAAGGTCATGCCTTTCTTAGTAGATTGATCAGAGAGAAAGGTGGCTATGTCAGCCTGTTAAATCAATTTGACTATCTCTCATATTCAGTGACAGTGAGCGGAGAAACCCATCATGGGTCCTGTACTCTGGTTACTTCACCTGCTGGAGGAAGGAAGAGGTACCTTATGAGTAACAGGACAACAATATTTTAAGCCTGTCCCCTGGTCCATAGCCCGGAATGTTTATGTCCATCCCAGGCTATGACACACTTTCTTACTCCAGCTGTACGGATGACTGTCTCTACCAGAGACCATTGGCGCCTCTCTCCACTCTGACTAATGCTGACTCCTCCTTAGGCCAGATCGCACCTTCTTACAGAAGTCTTTGCACACTCTCTCTCATACATACACACATACACAGAGACACACTCATACATAGACATTCTCACACACTTTCTCTCTCTGTCTCTGTCTCTCACACACATACATACACACACTCATACACAGAAACATACACGCGCACACACACACACACACACACACACACACACACACGCACGCACGCACGCACAGCTGTGTTTAACTTCCAATGTCTGCTTCATGGTGAAACTGGCCACTTCTTTAACCTTATAGGATTTGTAATTCTTGTTAGATATCTGTTTCTCTACTTTAAACCTTTTCTACTTAAGTTACCTTTAAATAAATAACGGAAACGGTGATGCTGAGGTAGGCAGGAAATCGTGCATTTTATTCTCAGTTGGGTTGTAGCTCAGCCTCATGGTGGCAAGGGTGTGGATGCAGCTGTGAAATGTCTTCCTTAGCAGGGTTGGAGACATGCCCACATGCTCTGGTCTGGTTATCCTATGCTGTGCCTCCAAGTCCCTTAAACTCACGGACGCACTTTCTGCCTTACTCTTTATCACTCTGGACCTGTTGAAGATGTAACTCATGGTGGTTCACTAGGGGCCTTCTAGGAACTCAACCAACTAGCTCAGCTCAGGAGACAGCACATATTCCCAGGTAACCAGGGGTGAGCGGTGCTCAGTCAAATGCACGCTTCCAGGTTCCTTGCTCTGTGAAAAGCAAACAAGACTTTCTGTAGCACAGACTATAGCATCATGTTCCATTAATTTCAGCTGGCTGTGCTATGTGCCTGTGTCTACTGATAAATCTACTCTCTGGCCAAGGTGTTCTTAACATGCCTATTAGCTCTAATAAGCTTCCTGGGGGCGGGTCCCAACTTCCCTTTAATTTACACACTGCTTTGGCAAACCTGTAATTGTAAATTATTTGTAAATAATTGTAAATTATTATCCTTTGAGACAACCCCCCACGCCCAACTGCTTGCCGGTTTTTAAAACCTTAGGATATCTTTCTTCTTCAGTCTGGGAGCCATCCTTTTGAAATGTATGCTAAACTTTGCCTCCTGGGTTTTGTGAGAAGTTATGAGATTAATTTATATGTGACAATAAACAAACCCAGATGGCGTAGTCACCCAGACCAACCTCTTCATGGCGTCTTGTGGTGTTTTTCCAATGTTTCCCTTGGCCCCTAAAAACCTCCTTTCTTTTAATTCAGTGCAGCTGAGTTCAATGTGTTTCACATACAGTAATAATCATTCATAAAGAAAGGCTCTTTGTGTGCTCAGCTCTTGGTACCTCTCAGGTCACATATACTCTAGAGTTTAATTGATACTATGTCACTCATGGAAAATGTGACTGCCCCAGAAGGTTTAAAAACCCAACCTTCTGGGTAATATGTTAGTGGCATTCATTTAGTGAGCAGGAGGGCTCTTTATATCTGGGAGTGAGATGGTTTTCCACAAATGCTGTTATTTTGGGATAGCACTGGGAAAATGATCTGGCTAAATGGGAGAAAATATCTCAGGAGCAAACACTACTAAATTAACCTTTTCCTTCACACTTGTAATGCTTTGACTACAATGTTGAAACCACATTTTTTAGGAGCACAGCAATCAAGTTCTTGCACCCACAAATTCCCCAGGGAGACCAGGAATGTTAAGACCACAGATTGTCTTTCTAATGGGAAAGATGGAAAACCTGTTCTTCCATCAAGAAAGATGGTATTTGGAGGTGATTAATAACACTATTATCTGTTTTATTTGTTGGATCAAACCATATCAAGCTTCTACATCAGGACTGGAAGTAGGTAGCAATCTAAATGACCCTTATAGCCAGGGGCTCCCACAAGCTCCCTCAACAAGGACTAGAGATACTTTTTGTTTGTTTGTTTGGTTTTTGAGACAGGGTTTCTCTGTGTAGCAGCCCTGGCTGTCCTGGAACTAGCTCTGGAGACCAGGCTGGAGAGCAGAGATACTTAATAGTCTAAAAGGCCTTTGCATTATCTCTGGAGCCAGAGGTCCTGCCCAAAGCACCCACAACCATGACCAGAGGTGGCTAATATCTCAAGTGACCCCTATAATTTCTGTATGGTCAAGACCAGGTCAGACCTTTCCTTGGCCCTTAAGCTAGAGCCGTTCTTGTTGGAAGAAATAACATGTACCCTGAGTAAGTACACTTCCTTGTTCACCAGGGAATTTTTATACCAGAAAACTGTTTTCCAAATTGTCCTATGTTTAAATCTGTTGTTAATAAAGCACCTGGCATCAGACTCCCTGACGTCGTGGTCCTGGTTGATGAAGTCAATCTAAACCGAATTTTCATTCTCGCCTCTTCACACTTGGTTTTGCTGCCATGACCACCTGCCGGGTTCCCCTCACATGTTGAGTGCTCAGTGTGAAAAATCTGGGCATTTGGACTTTGTTGTCGCCAGTGTGGAGATGATTTTATTATTCAGCATTGTGAGAACTAGACATGGGAACTTGATTGCCGGAACCCAGCAAAACTTCGGATAATTTCTGAAATCTCCATTCCATGAAAGCGATGAACAGAATCCCCTGACTAGAAAAGGCTCGGTGAATTTTGGCTGTAGTCACTTTCCCTATGCAAATACCCAAGCGGGAACTTTCACTTCCACAACTTTCTCCTGTCTAATAAAGGGTAACCACTAAGGGGTAGTTACAGTGGCTTAAAGCAGACTTTAACGTCTCTGGATTGCTTTGTTTGTAAATACTCACAAATACTCACTTGTGAGACATTGTCTTCTTCTCTCCTCACCCCAATCTCTCAATTGTTTTAGTGATGGATGGGCAGACAGAGATGAAGTCATCGAAGGCTACGAGGTGGAAGCCAATGGAGGAATCACAATAAAGCTACAGTCCCCAGAGGTCAGGTCATTCGATGACTACTTCCTGAAGCTGAGACTAGATACCAACACAAGGAATCCTTGGTTCCCCGAGTTCTGGCAACATCGGTTCCAGTGTCGCCTACCTGGACACCTCCTGGAAAACCCCAACTTTAAAAAGTCTGCACAGGTAACTGTGGGCAAAGCAGCAGCTCGGTGTGGGTCATCTTCTCTTCTTCTGTTACAGACTGTGAATGGGAATCTAAGGGAGAATAAATGAAAGCTTAGCTTATAAAAGATCTTAAATGAAGCAAGTGTATATTGTGCCCTTCCACCATGGATTTGTGTTCCTACATGTTGGAAAGACTAGTCTCTTGTGGAGTTAGTGACAAGAAGAAAGAACACAAGTAGACGACAAGCAAACAGTGCAGTCAGGCATTTTGTATTTGAACTAGAGGGAAAAGGTGGTTTTGCTCACGTAAGTGATGGTAGCCACAGACACATATATGCAACATTGATCTGGTCTTTTCCTCTGTGACTACTTTAATCCACAGGTCAGGGGGAAAGTGTGTGGCATCATTTTAGGTCATGCAACAAACATGCTGTTTGTGGATACAGGTACCAAGAAAGGGCAGTCTCACCTGCCTTCCGGGTGGACAGCAGCTGCTGGTGCACTGCTCACTCAAGCCAGGAGGAAGGGTAGCATGTCTTCCCAGGGTGTCTGGGGGCTTGGTGGACCCCACAGGGTGATGTTTTCCCCTAGAAAGTTATTTAACATTGATTTATAACACTGTAACTATTATGTGATTTATCATTATTGGGTAGAGACATTGATGCCTCTTGTCATTTTTCCAGTGTGATCTATGATCATAATGCCATTCCAAGCAATGTGATCATACCAAGATGGTATGGCATGAAGATTTACCCATAATGATAGATTGAACTCTACTAAAGACCTCATTTTAGAGTGCATAACAAAAGTGTGGGTTTCCTGGAGTGAGGTTATCAGATACTTAGAACATCCTAGAAATTGATTGTTTACATACTAGCTTGCATAGAGCTTGTGGATAGAAGCAATTGGAAAGAGAAGAGTATTATCTATATTCTTGAACTGTGAGCATGTATTCTTTTAAGGCATAATCAAAGTGAAAGAGAAAATAACCCAAGACAATGAGCTTTTACAAGATATGATAAAAATGTTTATTACATAGAATATTCTATTTTTTTCTTTCTTTGGTTTTTCAAAGCAGGGTTTCTCTGTATTGCTTTGGAGCCTGTCCTGGACCTTACTCTGTAGACAAAGCTGGTCTTGAACTCACAGAGATCCACCTGCCTCTGCCTCCCAAGTGTTGGGATTAAAGGCATGTACCTCCAATGTCTGGAAAAATATTCTATTTTCAGTAATACTTAAATTTGATATATGAAAAGTTTATAATGCCTATGTATGTAAATAGAATATGATAGGTCTTACTTGGTCATATTTAATAGAATTCCCTGGGGGAATTGCTTGGTATAAATCTGTTTCCAATCTAGGCTTTTAGAACATCTACAGCATGGCTTACAGGGAAATTAAGAATACAACCTATCTGAGAGGCAGGAGGAAGTGGTGGGGAGGAACTACACAGAGAATCTGTTTGCCATGCACACATTTTGGCTTTTTTTTTCCTCTAAAATAGACTCATAGAGGCTAAGAATTCTGAAAGTCCAATAAATCTTCTCAGTCTCCTTGTTTAGAAACCCAACGTGTTTAGAATGAGCAGTGGCAGTCTCTCTCTCTCTCTCTCTCTCTCTCTCTCTCTCTCTCTCTCTCTCTCTCTCTCTCTCTCAAAGAGAAACAATGGAATTGGGGCTATGCACACAGCCTGTATCAGTTTACTTGGCTCTTAATGCTACATTGCCTTTCTTGTTCTGTTTTCTAAGAAATGCTTTTGTACTTAAACTGTAACATCCTTGAAGACAGGTCTTGCATCTCTGAAAGCTAATTTTTCTTAACTAAATAATCTATTTAGCTTGCATTTTCTTAGGGTACAGAAATGCTTTTCTTGAAGACTTATTGTATAGGAAATATGCTTCTTTCATTCAATAAATATTTAATAAGTACCTACTATTGCAAAGGGCTTATAGCTCAACTGAGGGAAAAACATTGAAAAAGACAGACGCAACGGAAGAAGAACAAAAGAACAGAAGGAGGAAAGCCTTAGTAACCGGGTGGGGGTGCCCATTATTACCTAATCATAAGAGCTCTGGTAAGGACCAATGGAATCAGAGGACTGCAATTCAGAAAGGACAAGTGGAGGAAACCTTGCTGGGAAGAGCACCACAGACTTGAGGGTGATGAGTGTCAGCATACCAACATTAGCAGGAGCTTCCCGGAAAGCGGGAAGAGCACGTGAGCATAAGAACAAACACTGGCCTGGTAGAAGGGCAACGCAAGGCCAGTGCTTTTAGAACCAGTGAGAGTCCCAGCATGGGGAAAGGTGGGAGGGGCCAGCCAACTGGAAGTACCAATGAAGTCCCCTGAGATGAGGCTATGGCAATGGCGGGAGGATGGAGCCTGAGATTCCGTCTGAGGTGATCCTGAATGAGATCCTGATTGGGCTGAAGGGATTGGCTGACAGACTGTCAAGCATGACTCTGCTTTGAAGAGGTAGATGTCATCCACCAAGACCTGCAAAGCTGACTGAAAGCTGGTAGCTTTGGATTATGAAATATAAGTGAATTGACTTGGAGCTGTCCTCTTCGGTTAGAAAATTCAACACAAGTCACCCAAATCATCAGGAAGACAATGGAATTCTCATTTGTGGAATCGGTAAAATAGTACACAGTATAGAACAGTGCTGGTCAATAGAGCTTTCTCTAGGAATGGAAATCTGCTTAACTGCTGTCCACTAAGTTGGCCTCCAGCCATGTGTGGCTACCGACACATAACTGTGGCTTGTGGAAACAGAGGAGCCAAAAATTAGATTCATTTATCTTTAGTAAATTTAAATTGAAACTTGGTTAAGGCACATGTGCTCACTATATTTGATAGTACTGATTAACAGTATCAAGAAGGAACCTATCATGATGGCCCAGGCCTCTAATTCTAGCATTTAGGAAGCTGAGGCAGGAGGATTAAGAGTTTGAAGGCATCCTGGGCTACATAATGAGACATTATCTTAAAAATAAAACAAATCACCAGACTTGCTAGGGCACACCTTTAATTACAGCACTCCAGAAGCAGTGGCAGGTGAATCTCTGTGAGATCGAGACCAGCCTGGCCTATAGAGGGAGTTCCAGGACAGCCCTGGCTACACAGTGAAACCCTGTCTAGAAAAACAAAACACACACACACACACACACACACACACACACACACACACACAAAACCCAACAGATAGAGGGTGGACAGGTCACTCAGCAGTTCTCTGTAGCCATGAAGACCAGAGTTCAGAACCCAGCACCCAAGAGACACAAATACTGATAACCCCAGTTCTGAGTAGGGGAGGGTAGTGAGCTCACTTAAGTTCTCTAATTAAAAGCAAGTTTCAGGTATATGAAGAGACCCTTCCTGGGCAGAAATAGGTAGAAAATGGTGGAAGATGACACCCGGCAATACTCTTGGCTCTCATACGAATGAACAAAAGAAAAGGTGTGCACACGAGCACATGCATGTGCTTATACTCACAAACACACATAAAACATTTTAGGGCACTGGAGATGGCTCAGTAGTTAACAGAGGGTATTGCTCTTGCAAAGGGCCCACTTGTAACTCCAGCTCATGCATGCCCATGCATACACACACACACACACACACACACAATTTTAAAACAACAAAATTGAATCTTAAATAAATTAATTTTTGAAGTGGTACAGATTACCAATGATAACAAAAATATTGATAGGAAATAGGCAGCTGGTGAATACTGTGCATAATGCATGAAATTATTCTCAGTTTCATCGCTCTGTGACAATAACACTTGAGAAATTATGGTGTATAGATTCAACACAAAGTTAGAGGATATTATGCTTCTATCTAAGCTTTGGTACATATTTTCATGGAACTCAGCACAGCACAAATAACACATGATCGTAAAAGGGTCCCTTTCTTAATATCACCTCTGTGTATACTAGAATTCCTAGATTGTGTAGCCTCACTGCCTTAGCTAAATCCTCTTTATCTCAGGAACTATACAAACATTGGGCTTTGTTCTGTGAGATCCAGATGTAATGTTGTACCATTCCTCTCAGGAGGGAAAAAATACACTAAACATTCCCTAGGCTCAGCTCTGTTCCTTAATTGAATTAAACCATTGTTCTGTCAGGGTCATAGACTATAAGGTTACAGAGAATATTCACCAGTTATCTATTGATATACCTTCAAAACAAGCCACTACCAATGGTTGCACTTTTAAATAACAATAATTTATTTAGTTTGTGAATCTGGGGGTCCCCTAGGAGGTTTTTCTGCTCTTGGCTGGACATGGCTCATCTCTCAGGGCTGGAGTAATCTGGGGACTGGAAGATCTCAGAGATATTCCCCAAGAACTTGCCTCCTTCTGATTCATGTTTTTTCTGGAGGTGAGCTCTAATGTTTTCACAGCACAGAAACAGGGTTCTGAGAAGCAGATGAGAGTAGGCTAAGGCCATGGACGCTTGGACTGGGGACTAATAAATTGAATGTTAATTGAGATTTAAGAAGTAGGGAAAAATTGGGTGTGGTGAGTCCCTGCTAAAATCTAGTGTGAGTTCTAAGCCAGCCTGTTTCAAAGAGCAAATGCAGAGGAGGGGTGGACAGACATAATATTTTCCTCAACCCTGATTGACAGTCATTTTCTTGGTTGATCTTCAGGATTGTAATTTGCCACTGGGGCCAAACTTCCAAAGGGAAAAAGGAAAGTTAAACCTTAGGACACCATGGATGAAAATAAATTAGAACCTATCTCAGCTAATAGACACACAATAATATGTCTTTGATCTGTCTTGTATGATAAGTAAATCCAAAGTTGGAACATCTACATAACAGTAAAATTAATAATAAAGCAAACGTATCATAAAATGAAGTACAGTCTGAAAACTAATGGTAGTCTCAAAGCTACTGTGGTACAACTCTGCATGCCAGGACTCTTGGAATGCTATCTTACCAGATACCTTATTCTGTTTTCTGCTACTGTAACTGGTGAAAATTACTAATAAGGGATGTTCAGCTTTTCAGGATTCTAGAGGCTGGAAGTCTACAAGTGAAGGGCTACATCATCCTGCTCATGGTGTAAGGAATAAGCAGGCTGGGAGACAGAATGGGGACAGCCCTATAGCATTTTATCAACATTCCCCTATTGCAATATTGGCAATAACACCCTTCGTATGGTCTCTTGACGATTCAGTTTCTAAAGATTGAGTTTATTAATGCTGTCAATTCCAATTAAATATCAATGTGTGTTTTGAGGAAACATATTGACTAGCCATCAATATCATAGAAGCCATGAATTGGTGGACATAACCACAAAATTATCTCATTCTACCATAGACAACAGACAAATACAAGTATACACTAAATTAAAAAGCATTGTTCCCATTTGCTTCCAATTGGAAGACCAAATGGAGTCTATTTAAAAAGAGGCTGAGGACACAGTACGTTTGGTAAACTTAAGCTCTTAATTAACACACTGCCCAACCACAAAATTATATATGTGTTTCTAAGAGATCCCAAGCTACCATGCGTTTAGGCTGGTAATTACATGTTTAGGAATCTATTATAAGGGAACACTCTAAAAATAGTAACAGCAACAGTCAAGAAAAACCCTCTGTCTCATATTCATTATTTTTTAATAAGGAAAATTGGAAGCATCCTAAGTGTCCAACAATAAGATAAGAATGGCTAAGTAATTATAGTGCTTTTATGGGAAAGAATACTACAGAGCTATTGAACGGGGACTATAAAGCCAAACTGTAATATCAAAAACATGGGAAGTATAATCCTCCCGAATGTGAGATACTGAATTACACACACGCTGTGATTATCACAACGCAATCAAAATGGAAAAACACCAGAGAGTGTCTCATGCAGTGCTGGTAGGAGTTGACTTTTGAAACATTTTATTTTCAAAAAGCCTGAGAACTACCCATGTCTACAGAGTGAACTTCTGGAAGTTAATTCCACTTCTGGAAGCAAAACTTCAAGAAAAAAAAATTCTAGAATGGAAAGGCATGGGTTAGAAAGATTTTCTTGTTACCTCGTTGCAGCATCTTGCTTAATGTTGATGGTCTAGAATTAATAGGATGAGAAAGGACTAAATGATACATTACCTATGTGCAAAATGTTATGTAACCATTGAAATTTTGATAGGAAAAAAAGAATCCATAAATAAAAGCAGCAGTTGCATTTAAGAGGTAATATGTAATATACCAAATATATGACTTAAAATTACATGAAAAGATGAAAATACTCCAAAAATTTATCAGTAATTAATTGTGGGTAAGTAAATTGCATTACAAGCGTTTTTCCTTTTATTTTCTTTTTCTCTTTTCTTTTTTGAGACAGGGTCTTACTGTGTAGCTTCTACTGCTTTGGAATTCACTATAAAATTATGTAGACCAGACTGGCTTCAAACTCCAGAGATCCACCTGTTTCTAACTCCTGGGTGTTGGGATTAATGGGTGTGTGCCACCACACCTGTCACTGCAATGCTTTTAAAATCAGAAAAAAAATACATTAGCATTTCAATAGTAATGCAAAGAAAATGTCTTTTAACGATGTGTACAGGAGATTAAGGATTGATTATATTGATTTTTTGTCTGTTTTTCATACTTTTGGATAGAATTATGTTAAATTTACAACTTCAAGAAGCGCATTTCTGTAATGGTCAGTATCACTGTCTTTCTCTGGTCAATTACGACACTTGGCACTAGAACTTAGCATTGTGTAAGTACAGTCAACCCCAACCTACACTCAACCAAATGTGAAACAACTCGAGGGACATTGCATCAGTAATATGTACAGACTTCCTCCTTGCCATTATCCTTAACCTATGTCGTAGAATGTACACTGTCTCCAACATTACAGCTGACCTGGAGATTTGATACTCATAAACAAGAGGATATGCTTATTTTATATTCAACTTTTATTCTAGCTTATGCAAAAGACCTGACTACCCTTAGGTTTTGGTGTCTGTAAAAGAAGATTGTCTTAGAACCAATCCCTTGAAGTCATTCCAGTTTGCAGTATTTCCTTGCAAAGAAACTCAAATTATCTTATTAAATTTGCTAAGCATCTGTGTGAAGTAGATACTATTATCATGTTACAGTTGTTGGACCTGAGACTCAGAGGTTAAGGAAGGGCATCCATCAGCTAAGAGAAATGTAAATGAGTCAGTGAGGCATCTACAGGTACTTTCTAGCTCAGAGCGTCTTCAGCAAGAATCCCAGGGACCTGTCCAGTGTTTTCTTGTTAGGAAAGATAAAGTGCTGTTCCAGTGCAAACATGATACAAATCCCTTCA